ATGTTTCATAACTCCATAGCTGAATCTTATATGGTTTTAGGGGTTTTTTTCCCCTTGGTTTTTGATTATTTGGTTTTGTCTCCTTGCATGCCAGGTAATTTTTTATTAAATGCTAAACATTATGTATGAAAAATTGTGGAAACTCTGGAAGATGAAATTTCCCCAAAAGAAAAGTTACTTTTCTTCTGGTAGGTAGTGATAGTAGAGGCACATCACTTTGATTCAATAGGGGATTAAAATGATTTAGGTGTCAGTTAAAAGCCTGGTATGTTTACAAAAGATTCTCATCCTTGGTGGGCCGCAAACTCCAATTTTTGCCTCCCTAGGACCAGGAGATCGCCCAAAGCTCTGCTTCATTTCCTGCCTTCCTACCTGCCCCTTTCTGCTGGGCTTCTCTGACTCTCACCACACCCAGCGTGCATATCAGCAAATGCCTCAAGGGTAGTAATTGTCAGCAGTATCTGGCTCATTCTTCTGTGGTTCTCATATCTCTAGGATCTTTGCTCCTTGGGTCCTAACTACTTTAGTAGCCCTGAACTCCAGATTTTGTCTTCCCAGCCCCATGAGACTGGAAAACTCTAAGCTGTCCCTTTTTCCTTTTGTGTTTCCCAATTGGCAAATGTCTTAATGGGAGAAGTGGTAGAGGTCAGACTTCACTCAGTCCTGGTCTCATCAATGTGGACTCTCGGGCCCTCCATCCCTGCTTTAGTTGCCCTCCAGTGCCTTAAAACAATGTTTGGTAGGGTTGTATTTTTTATTACAATAGTGAGATTGAACCAAAATATAAACTATCCCATCAAAGCTAGGAGGTGAGTTCAGTTAGAGTTTAATACCTGTTAGGAAAAATCACATATTTTCATTTTCTCCAATATTGGAGGAAAATGTGGCTCTCAACCATTTTAAAAGGAATACCCCAGATAAATTAAATACTTAACTGTGAAAGGTAAAACTCTAAAGGAATAGCTTAAAATGTTGGCAAATTTTAGTATCCGAGGGTTAGGGAAATAATTTTGACACCAAGGAAAAAAAGGAATTTGGAGACAAATATGTAAGAAGTTGTTTGTGCTGCAAGACACCATAAATATAGAAAACAGGCAAATGAAAGGTTAAGAAAAGAAGATTATAGTATCTAAAACCAACAATGAACTAATATTTAGACTGTACATGGCACTCCAGCAAATCAACAAGAGGAGAAAAAAAAAAACCCTGCAGAAAAATGAACAAGAATAAAAGATATAAATAGTTCCCAGAAACTCATATGGCCCACAATTGAGTATATGCTCTAACTCACTACTAACCGTAGAAATGCAAATTGAAACAACTATGAGATATCACTTTCCACTTACTGGTTTGACAAAAATTAGAATGCTGGATAATGCCAAGTGTTATTAAGAATTTATGAAAACTAGAGGATTCATGCCCTTGTGCTAGGAATCCAGATTAGCACAGGAATTATGAAGAATGATCTGCTAGTAACTGGTTAAGTTCAGTTCACATGTACCCAATGGCACAGAAATCTTCCTTAAATATATATACATTTTAAGTATGTGTGTCTGTAAACACATATGTATGGATAGATACACATAATATTATTTTAATGAAGATGTTCATCGCAGCATTGTTTATGGTAGTTGAGAGATAAAGGCTTCCTAGCCATTCAGCACTAGGGCGACGCGTAAATACAATGGAGCGGGCACACAGTATAGAATTCTAGCTATAAGCTAGATAATCATTCAGCAGCATGTGTACATTATAAAACCATTGTGAAGACTGAAAAAAAGGAAAGCCTAATAAACAGAATGAGATCTCAAGCACACCACTGTTCATGTGGATTAAAACACATGTCACACATAAAACAATACAGCATCATTTATCAGGAGACATACTTACATATTTAATACATTAGAGTCCAATGACTAGGGAGAGTGAGAAAAGAGAATAGATTGGAGTTTTAAAAACTTTGTTTGAGGAAGCTAGTCACTCAATTACAGATTTTCCGTCTCCCTCTCCCCTTCAAAGTCCCTCTCTCCCTCCATCCCTTCCTTCCTCCCATCCTCCAACAAATCATCAGATGACAGAATGAACAAGATTCTGTGTCAGGTGTGTTGGGGGGAGATAGGAGGATCTCCACATTGGCTTGGCCTGCGGGAATCTTAGGCAAGAGTCTAAAGTGCATACACCAAAAGCTTTCATAGCTACTTGGCCTCAGAGTTAAAACTCACAAACACATTCCTGCTCTGCTATAACATCAAGTGCTGTTTGGGTCACGCCGATACTCCGTAAAATCAATAAGCTGTATGACTGAGGCCGGAAGCGTCACATTGCTGTTTCTTTCCTCATCAGGCTTTTCTGACAATACATGTGCCATGTGTCTCAAATGCAAAGGCCTGTAGGACCAGGAGGAAACACAGATGGAAAAAGAGATCAAATCTAAGATACTAGGGAGCATTGTGGACTATGGCAAACTGGAGCTCATAGGCCCTGACCAATTGGACAACTGCTACCCAACTCCAGCAATAGTTGCCATGCAGGAACATGGCAATATGATTCCATTTTCAAAAGAAGCTGAAAATCCAGATTTTTATGTAAAATTACCTCATTTTTAAATATTAGCAACTACTTCAAATATTTTTAACCCTAAGGAGGAAGATAAACAGTTCATTTTGTTTTTAACTGGATTTGGTCCTTTAGCTAATAACTTGCTGCCTTGAATACCCATACTCACAGCATCTAGATATTTAGAGAGCAATGCTGTTTTTTTACATCATTGTTTATTTTCTAACCTTAAATTATTTGCCTACACCCAAAAGGATGAAGGAGATGAGTTTGAATAAAATGCAAATTTCTGGCAAATACGATTAGATAACAGGTTCAATATCTGCTGTTGCTAAGCTCCATACAATGTGTTTGATGTATTAAAGACACAAGACACCTTGGCCTCTCTCCTGAAGTGCCCTGTGACATTCAGGAAAGAAGGAAATGGGAACCCAGGACACATGTATACATGAGACATTTAGTAACCAAATGTTTCTCAGCTAATGTAAATATATAAACACTAAAAAGCTGATCTGCGTGGAATTCCGTCATCAGACTTAAAAGTACATGTAAAGTACTTCCTATGTGCATGTCCTAGAATAAGTGATTTCTTTCTTTTTTAAAAATATTAAGACACAGAAAGATGTATAGTAACCATATAACAGTGGTATGCCCAGCACCCTGCTTACAGACTAAAACAAGGGTTGGCAAGCTTTTTCTACCAGCAACTAACTATTTTCAGCTTTGAGCGTCTCTATCACAACTACTCAGAAGTAGCAGCACGAAAGGAGCCACAGATAATACATTACATCAATGGGCAGGACTATGTTCAAGAAAGCTTTCTTTTTTCCAAATTCTGGAGCCTGCAATTTGAATTTCACATCATGAAATGGTATCCTTCTTTCGGTTTTTTTGTCAACCATTTAAAAACGTGGAAGCCCTTCTTAGCTCATGGGTCATACCTGGACCATAGTTTGTGTCAGCCTCTGAACTAAAATGACAAACACAGTTGAAGCCCCCAGATATCACTTCCTAAACTGCAAAGCCATACTATTCTCAGAGTTAGCCTTTCCCCTGAAATTGGTGTTTATCATTCCTGGGCATACTGTTCTTTTTTATTGCATGTGTATGCATCCCTTAACAGGATAAAATACTGATTTGTATATTTTACACTTCGTGGAAATTGAATCATATTTTGAGTACCCTTGTGATTCTTTGCTTAGTACTCCTTTGTTTGGCTCTCTGTCTGTCCTGCTGGGTAGGGCAGTCTTTTCCTCCAGTTCAGTCTTTTCTACAGCTGTATTGTATTCCACTGAGTGAGCACACTGCCTATCGCATTCTTCCTATGGCATTTAGGTTGCTGTCTACTGAGGCCTTTCTTTACAAGTATCACCTCTTTCCGTCTTCATTATGACCTTTTCAGGGAGTTACTTTGATGATCCCCATTGTCCGGATGAGAAAACTTTTGACTTAGAGCAGTTTGGAAACTTTCTCACAGTGGCAAAACTGGAATTTGAATCTGATCTTCTCTCAAAGGAATCTTAGTTTATACCCACTTCGCCATCAGTCAGTACACCGTGTTTCATTAACATAATGATAGTGGACCCTGCCAGGGGTGACCTTGCAGTACCGGTGTTCTTTCAACAAACCTGGCCTTTCTCTGAGGACAGTTTGAACCAGCATCGAATGGTATTGGTCATAGTTTAGTCCTTTGAAAACTACCATGTACGATATTATGCCGTCAACCAGAAATTTCATTTCCTAACCACAGTGGGTAGAAATTCAAGAGGAATAAGTCCCTACATAGTGCAAAAGTTGGAAAAGTTTTCAGTAAAACATGAGGGAGACCGGGAGGCTTGGCCTGTGCTTTCCTGTCCCCCGTAACATCTTATCAAAGTTGGAGTAACTCAGGAGTAAGTGTTGTCTTTCTTGGTAGGGACCAAAGTGACGGGTTGTGGAGTTTTGCTGCCTAAAGGGGTTTGTTACTTATTGCTAATGCTTTTTGAGGCTTTCTCTGTACAAGTAACACCATGTCCATTTTTCTCTCTTAACTGCAGTCAACTCCCATTTCTCCCCAAGCCTCTGACTTTTGGGAATCCAAACGCAAACACCCCTCTCTGCCTGCCTCTCCCTTCTTCTCCTGGGAAGTGTCCCTAGCTCACTCCAGCTCATTCAGATGGCATTTAAGAGACCAAAGTATAATTTTTCTAGTGGGAAAATACAGTATGAAGGAGGGGAAAGTTTTAATCAAGTGGGTGTATTCTCCAAGGGGAGAAAGTACTTCATTTTAATTCCTCATTTCCCTTTGATGAAAAGTTTAGTGAATTTTTATGATGTAGAATTTATAAGATGGCTGGGTTTAGGTAATCAGCTTTAATATTTATACTCTTAGGGAAAGAAATAGGAATCATTAGTAGGCATGCATAATTAATGAATAAATTATATTTCCCTTTGTTTTCTTTCAGGTATAAGGAAATGCTAGAACTAGTGATCTCACCCAGCCTTACTGTAAACAGCAGTTGTCCGGGGAAACTGAAGCTTAACTGCGCTGACGCTGATGTCTGGACTCTGAGTGACATAGAAGGTAGGCCTCCTGGTGTGAGTTTTGGTTGACTGCTGGTGGTCCCTACTCACCCCTCAGAATATCATAAGGGACTGATGGCCTTAGATACGCATCCTTTCGAAAGTACTGCCATTATGACAATTTATCCTCCCGCCGATCCGATTGTTGCCCCTAGACCAAAACTTTGGCATGCATTGCTAACAATTATGTCTAGTCATTAGAGGTAAAAGTAGGCTCATTCGTGTTCTGAACGTCCCATCTTGGTCGCCAAATCCCAGAAATGCTGACACCTCCACAGACAGCCGTCAGTTTCAGGTGTGTCCCAGGCGCGGCCCTGGGTGTGTCCTGCAGGGTCTGGGTCTCCTGCTCTGAGTTCTGTCCCTCAGCAAGCTCCTGCCGTGGCCGCATCCAAGCAGGCGTCTTGTTTACAGAGGTTTGACGTTGGGACACGAACTTGTCTGCAGTTTGCTTTCAGGTTGGTTTGGAGTCAAGGAAGCAGAAGAGAGTTAAGCTGTTTAAAAAATAATTGGCAAATGATGCAGCCGGACTAGTTTTCACTAGAACAATTCCAGCTATTGTTTGTTCTGTTTGGGATCTGTCAACCTTCCTGGTAGAGCGGAGTTAGCAGAAGGCATTAAGCTATTATGCTTAGCCATTGGGCTTAACCCTTTACTGGCCAGCTTTGGGATTTGCTGATGGTGTTCTGGGACCCCAGGCTGTCTCTCCTTCACTGTTTGTGTTTGATGCCAGCCTCTATGGGGCACAAATCCTGTGTAAGTTGTAGAAAACCAGAGACTTGTGTCTGGACGAATATAACATCATCAGGAATTTGCTTTTAAGCAACTCCAGGCCTCCGGGAGTAGTTATTACTGTCACCAAGACAATGACATTTCCCATGCATGCTGCTTATGAAGCTGAGATTTGCCTGCTAAAAGTACCACTGAGGGGGTCTGGGCTCCCACACCCTAACCACATGGTAGGGAACACACCCTCACTCTTCCTGGAACTTGGGCATGTCCATGTAAACATCCTGGGCTCTTTGAGAGTTTGAGAAAATGTATTGAACCCTGTGGAAAGACAGTCCCCCTTTTCTCTCTGAGTGGAGGCACAAGTCTTCATTCTAGAGCCAGTGGGGATAGGAGAAGGGATAGACTGCCAAGTAAGGAAGACCCAAGTCTGAATCCCAGCCCCACTGCTTCCCAGCCGAATGATCTTGGGCAGATTGTTTAACCTTTCTGAGCCTCAGTTTCCAGGCCTGTCAAACAGGGCCATGACCGTGACCCAGTTCATAGGGTGCTTACTGCTGCCTGGCACACCTCAGGGGTATAGTACAACAGTTGAGCTTATTACCCCATTGTCCTCCTCTGAATGAGTAACCACAGTGAATTCAGAACCGTGGTTGCAGACTGGCAGCACAGAGCCACGCCTGGCCCTCAGGTTGCCTTTGTTTGGTTTACGCTATGTTTTAAGTAAAAGTGGACCTCTAAAAATCCGGAGAGTTCACAACAAAATTTGGATTTCTACTTTCTCTTGAAATGCTGACCGCTTTAGAGATGCTGGGACCACGTTCCCACCTGGCTGCTACTAGTGAGGGCTGAGAGAGACAGTTCTCCTTCAGATGAGTCCCTGCCATTTCCCTTTGACTTTATATTTGTGAGCCTATACTTGGTACCAGACACTTCAAAGCAACGTTAAGTGTTGATGAAGTCTCTTCCTCCTCCTCCACTATCATTAAAGCCAACATTTGGCATTTGCTATGTGCCAGGCATTAATGCATTAGCTCATTTAATCCTCAACTCGAAGAAGTGGATACTGTTATTAACCTCATTTTGCAGATGGGGAAACCGAGGCACAGAAAGATCAAGTAGCATGATTGAGATGACACAGTTCAGTGATGGCCAAAATTTGAACAAGGAAGTCTGACTCCAAAGTCTATTCTTCCAGTCAGTACACTATGATTCTCATTTGATTATTATTCCACTGTTAGGCTATAAGTCCACTTTACAGTTGTGGAAGTTGAGTAACCAGTTTATAGTGATACAACTAGAGGCAGGGGCAGGAATCAAACCCAGGACCCCCAGCTCCAGAGTCCCTACTTCTAAGCTGAAGGATCACTTTCTGCCAAGCTACTAAGAGTCCTCAGACTATAGATGTCCATCGCCCACAGGGCTGGCATCCACAGATACACTGTCTCTCCTTTTCTGTGACTGGGAGCTTTCCAACATTTCCCACTGCCGCGGAGGAAGCTGGCTGCCCAGACCAGGGCTCTGGGGGTGGAGCGATGGGCCGGAGTGAGGTCGCTCCCAAATTCAGAGCAGGCAGGGCAGGCAGGGTCAGGTTACACACACACACTCTTTTCTTTCTCTTGAGATGGGCGGTAAGCTCAGGGACTCAGCAGGGGACATTCCCCCCTAGCTGTGGCCTCAAGTGCCAGATTTGGCTGCCCTTCCTGCCTAGTCTCCTGGTCTCCTCCCTCCTGGGCCCTTCCTTCTGTTACAGAGTTGTCGTTGAGTGACTGCAAGGACCCAGCTCCCAGGCGGACCCCATGGAGGCAGGGGCCAAGGGGCCTGCACGGGGATTCTGCAGGGAATGTGGAGCTAGTGGCTTCCATTGCTCTGCCTCTTAACAGTCATGAGTCCCTGATCTAGTGGCCTAACCTCTTTGGGGTTCATTTGTCTCATCTGATAAATGGGAATGATTATTCCACTGACCTCATTGAGTTGATGTGAGGATGAAGTGTATTAAAACAGGAAGATGACTTAGTATTTCTTAAAAGTGCAGAGTGAGACCTAAATCCCTTACCCTTGGCCACCAGGCTCACCTTGTCTGTCCCTGCCAGCCTCTCAAATTCCCTGTGCCCTTTGCTCACTGGGTCCAGCTCTTGGCTTTTTTCTTTGCTCTAACTCACAGGTGTGGTTCTGCCCCCAGGGCCTTTGCACTTGCTGTTGCCTCTGCCTGCATCGGTTTTTCCCCCCCTACACCCCCTACCCCCCCATCTCTGCACCCCTCATCCTCTAGATCTCATTAGACAGGTCTTCCCTAACAAAAGTAACTGTTCATTCGTTCATTCATTCAACAGATGTTTATTCAGCCACATGCCAAGCATGGTTTTAAGTACTAGAAAGACAGCAAAACACCCTGCCCTCCTGGGCCTACACAAGGTGCTGGAAGGGCAGGAGACTGATAATACCAATAAATAAGCAAAATATATAGTATGTTGGATGGTGATACTTACTATGAGGGAAGAAACAGGGAAGGAGGATGAAGAATGCAGGTGGGGTTGTCATTTTTGTTGGAGTGGCTAGGAAACATCTCCCTGGGAAGGTAACACAGAGCAGAGACCTGAAGTTGATGAGGGAAGCAGTTCATGTCCATGTGGACCAAGAGCCCTGTAAGCAGAGGAAACAGCAGGTGCAAAGGCCCTGAGGCAGCAGTGTTTCCAGAGCACTTGAGGAGCAATAAGGAGGCCAGTGTGGTTGGAGCCCAGGGAGCAAGGGGGCAACCAGGGAAATGAGATCAGCAGGAGACATGTCAGACCATGCCAGACTTTGTGAGCCATTGGAAGAATGTTTTGGCTTCTATCCTGAGTGAGATGGGAGCCGTGGGAGGGTGTAGAGCAGATGAGGGATGATCCAATCTCATACTGACAGGATCCCTCAGGCTGCATGGGAGAAGGGACTGGAGGTGGGGACAGAATGGGAGCCTGGAGACCAGTGGGGAGGGCGCTGCAGTAAACCCAGTGAGAGGCAACGGGGGCTTGCACAGGGGCAGTAGATAGAGCGGCGAGAAGGGGTCAGATTCTGGACCAGTTTTAAGGGTAGAGCCCACAGACACCTCACAGCGTTTGCACACACTGTCCCCACAGCCTGGCACGTCCTTCCTTTCCGCTTTTATTCTGTGACAAATCAATTTCTAGCCACCGGGCAATACACAGATACACAATTCTTATAAAAACTTGAAACCTCAAGCCAAACTCCCCTTTGCTACATCCACCCAACTGAAGCTTTTTGCCCCCAAAGTCACCACTGTTGTATGTTGTGTACATGTTATTTAGTACCTTTCTCTATGCAATTACAAAGTGTCCATGTATATTTATATAATTTATGTGTGTATTTATGTACAGACATTTGTAAGTATATATTTACTATAGAAAAGACACTGTTGTTGGAAAAAAATTCGAAACACAAAAGCTGTCATATGATACATATTTTCTGTTACTTGCTCTGCGCACTCAAGATGTATGAAGTAATGATCTACCTCCTATTTGTTTTAACTGAATAATACACCAAAGAATGACTGTGCCGCAGGTCACTCAGCCGTCCGCCTGCGGGTGAACACTGAGGTGGTTGTTATTTTTTTTTTTTGCTCTTGTGAACAGTGCAGCCAGGGGCACCATTGTCCGAGCTGCAATGTGAACATGTGAGCTGTTTCTCTACAGAGGATGCCCAGAGTTGGAAATCAGCGTAGGTTCTTTCCCCTTCATTTCTGCCTTACAACCTCCCCCTTATCCAGTGTCACCTCTATCCCCTTGTGCAACCTCCCAGACCCCTCCACGGAGAGAGCTGGTCATTCCTCATTCTGGTATTTCTTCCATCATGTGATCAGCAAATTGTTTGCGGGGCATTCTGTGCATAGGGCCTGGGGATCTGGTGGAGAACCATGCCTGCCCACTGCCAGCCTTCAGGGGCTTTGCACGGCAAGGGTCACTCTGCTCCCTGGGGCACTTTTTGCATCTCCCCAGGGTGACTGCACATCACATCCTACAGAGTTTGAGCTCAGCCAGGCCACATTTGTATCATAGCCCCGTGAATTGCTCACTGTGTGAGCCTGGGCAAATTCCTACTCCTCTCTGGGCCTCAGTCTCCTCATGTAGATAATGAAGATACAAATGCATAAGTAATGAAGTGCATTTGTCGGGTAAATAGTTCCAGAATGCCTGCTGCAGGCCAGGCCCATGTGTAGGTGCTGGGAATGTATCAGTGAACAAAAACAGGCAGGTCCCCCTTCCCAGAGTGCATGTT